AGTTGATATTCTAATTTCACTGTTATTAATGTAATTTGTTTGTACTTTTCCAGTTCTATCACGATCATCCATACCAGGTAGGTCAACATAATGGAATCTAACAACACTTCTGTCATCAGGAGGTTGATATACACCAATCCTGTATCCACTGGAGACATTTAATGGAGTAGGGAGAGTGAAATGATACTGTCCATTAGTTGTAAAGTTATCAGGAGTCAGTCTGATTTCAATAGACATCTCTCTAGTGTACACATCATCATCATTAGTTGGAGCCCATACTTCAAATTTTGGATATAAATTTCTGCCAACAGTATCATAAACTGTCCTTATATCAACTCCAATCAATATTTCTGTTACAACTGTAGCACAAGTGAATTTTATGTTGTCCTCAATGATAATCCATCTTGTTGCTAGATCTATTATATAGTTCTTATAGTTAGATAATCTGTTATTACGTAAATTTCCCATTGGACTTGTTGCTTTACCCTGTAGAAGACTATAATCCATAAATCCTTCAGTACAAGACTGTCCATTAGCCTCCAGTAATATTCCATTACTCATGAAGCACAGCAGTAGTACTAATAGAAGATAGGAAGACATCATCTTCAACAGTTTGAATGAACAAACTGAAAATGGGTGGGCTTATATGAGACAGCATTTCATTGATATCAGCTTATCAACCCCAAGGACTTCCTTTTCAATAATTAAGATGACTATGGATTACTGTATATAGATCTACATCATTTCCTGCATTGCCTTGTTGTGCATGTTGTTAGAGTCATTGTAGTGTTGTATAGAAGCAATAGGAACATGAGTAAAAGTAATGTCTTAAAATTGATGCATGGCAAAGATTCAAGTGGTATCAGATGAACTTATTGAGGGCATTAAATGGGAGAGTTTATTGCTATTATAGAAACTGCGCATGGAAATAGATTATTAGCTTATTACTAATAATGAAATCAAGATTATAACTGATCTAAAAACAGTTTAGTATTGATATATTTATGTCATTAACATTGTTCCTGTTATATGTACAGTTCTTCTTCTTCTTCTTTCATTTGTTGATGTGCCTCATCTGTTGCCATAGTATCCTATCAATGTAATTAATATAATAGTTACCAAAGGCCATGGTGTACGACTTTTGTGAGTATAAGCATTGTATTTGACTGGTCTTCAATTCAATTTTATGAGATACTTACCTCTTGTTCATTATGCATCATTGTTCTTGGTTCATCATATACTTGATCAATATCTTTAATTCAAAGTACTATGTCACTCCACACACATACACACATGCAACACAAATATTTCTCTACAAGTTATCTCCATACATATACACTAGATCTATCATGTACATACTTTCTATTCCTCTTGTGTTAATACCATAAGCAGGATTAGCAGATACACCAGATCCTAATAACAATATGATAGATGTATATATATTAAGTCTATCTTACTTTCAGTAATACCATAAGCAGGATTAGCAGATACACCAGTATTACAGTCTATGTCATGATGTTAATATTTTAAGAGTAGTATGTTTAATCTTACTATCTTGTTCCCCAATTACTCCATAAGCAGGATTAGTTGATGCTAATAATATGTTCTGTCCTTTATCCATTGTTATTACTATATAAATTGAATTGATTTTCAAAAATTGTTTTAATGCACATTAAGCCTTACTATCTGATTGTTGATTTATATCAGCTTTTCTTTCATCAGAACTGAAAGTATCATTTCCATTTGTTGTTTTATACAATCTTCTCCTACACACTAATACACTCACTATTAATATTCCTATATTAGTAACTACCAGTAGTACAATGACTGCACTGATAGCTGCTATTAGTATTGTAGATGCACCATTTCCTGCATTGCCTTGTCCTGGTGTTGAAGTCATTGTAGTGCTTAGTGAGGAAGTAATACTAATAGATGCAGTAGTAATGGAATTAGTAGGAACAGCAGTTATTGTAGTAGTAGTAGTATATCTTGTCATACTACTACTAGATGGAGTCCCCATAACTGATGACAGTGAAGTGGTATCTGATATAGCTATTGAGGATATGGTTGAGACAGTAATGTAATTAGAAGGTGTATCAGTGGTAGTTACTGGTATAGATTCTAATGGGAGAATTATTAATGTTCATAATACCAAATAAAAGTTATTCTTACCTACTAGAGTAATTAATCAATTATCGGACTAATCAAACTTCGGACAGTTATATTTTGAAAACTAAACATGATTTTCCAGTAATTTTTGCACTAGATATAGATCATCACAATATCTGTTTGCATGGTAAAAATCAAAGCATTACCTTCTTTCTTTGTAAAGATATAATTTGCTAAACACACTTAGTAGATTCACACAATAATCGGCCGTGTTAACTCCATTTTCGTCACTTAGCCACAACGAAGCAAGCTTTGTTCGAAGAATAGTTTTGTACCACCAGAACTTTAGTACTGACTGTCTTCTTCAAATACCACTGTAAACATCTTGGTCATCTTTGCTTACTGTTCAGGTATTATACCTTTTTAGTTAATTATCATTATCGGTCACACCCATCTTCATTAATTGCTGCAACAAAGCACGAGGCTCCTTGTTTATATTTTTGTTTGGACTCATTGAATCTCTCAGCTGCCTTTTCCTATCATAAATACTACCTCTATTGAATGTAAGTCACTATAAAAGCAAAATTTGTTTGTATAGCATGCAGTTTGTTTTCAAAGCTGCTCCATCATGTGTATAGCCATAGTGCATGCAAGGTGCAAATTGCTCAGGCTTTAGTTCTGTAAAATAAAGGTACATCAATCTAGCACCAGGCTTTTTCCCCATGTTTACATGTCATTGGTATGATAATCAATTTTTTTATGTTAATGTCTTTTTAGATGGCGACACGCCCATGTACATACTCTACATGGCCTGAAATAAGCATGACGAATGCTATCAAAGCAGTTGAAGAAGAGGGGTTGACAGTTAGACTTGCAGCGGAGCTATATGGCATTCCCAAATCAACACTTTATGACAGGATCAGGGGAAATGTTCAACATGGAACTAAACCTGGCCCAGTGCCGTATCTTACAAAAGAAGAAGAGGTTATTTTGGCTAAGTTTTTAATCAAATGTTCTCAGATTGGATTTCCCCGCACAGTTTCAGAAGTTCTTGCACTAGTAAGACAAACAATTCAGTCAAAGGGTTTAAGTGACGTCTCAATTTCTTATGGATGGTGGCAGAAATTTTGTAGCAGGCACAGTGAATTATCACTTCGTACTGCTGTGCCTTTAAGTCTTTCGAGAGCCATGGCCACTGATAATAGTGTCATACAAAAGTATTTTGATATACTTGAAGACACACTTAAAGAAAATTCTCTATTCAACAATCCAACTCGCATATTCAACTGTGATGAAACAGGACTCCCATTGAATCCTAAATCTTTGAAAGTTGTGAGTGGTCGTGGAGCTAAGAATGTCAGTCAAATCACTGGAGAAGGGAAGTCTCAAATCACAGTTCTGGCATGCACTTGTGCAGCTGGAGTACCGTTGCCTCCATTTGTAATATTTGATCGTAAGACCTTTAATGATCAGCTAATGGTAGGAGAAATACCAGGTACACTTTACGGCTCATCTCCAAATGGATGGATCAGTAGAGAGCTGTTTTTGTACTGGTTTCGTAAGCTGTTTTTAACAAGTGTTCCTAGGGTACGTCCTCTCCTTCTCCTGATGGATGGTCATTCTACTCATTATGGTCCTGACCTTATCAAGATAGCAGCTGAAGAGCAAATTTTAATATTTGTATTGCCACCCAATACCACTCATTTAACACAGCCACTTGACAAAGGGTGTTTTGGGCCATTAAAAACTGCTTGGAAGGCTGTGTGTCATGAGTTCTGCACTAAAAACCCTGGTCGTGTGGTAACCAGATACGATTTCTCTGTATTATTTGCTGATGCATGGAGAAGGTCAATGACACAGAGAAACATTGCAAGTGGCTTTGAAGTAACCGGCATATGTCCTTTCAACAGAAATGCTATTAAAACTGGCAATGACAAGCAAGAAACCATCAGCCGTTCACTGTTAGACCAGACTGGTCTAGCATACATACCGCTCTATAGTCCAGACATAAAGAGAACGAGGGATCATGATTCTTCATTCAATTCTAGTCTCTTGGAGAGATCACTTTCAGAGAATGATTTATCGCAAGCTGTCACTCCAATGCGAAGAGTAATGCCTATAGAGTCTTTTCTGAAAACTCATAGTCATCCCAGTAGCAAGTCCACCCTGAAGCCTAAATCATGCGGAAGAGTATTGACTAGTGTTGAATTCATGACATGTATAGAGGAAAAAGAAAGAATGAAGCAGGAAGCCTTGAAGGAGAAGGAGCGTAAAAGAATTGCTAGACTTGAGAACCAGAAGGAAGCTAATAGAGTAAAAGAGTTGAAGAGAAGTGCAAGTAATATATCTTATTGTGAAAAATTTAATCTGATATTGGATCATATTTTTAGATTTTACTATGAGTGAGCACAGGCAATTCTCTAAGAGGTTTGAAAATGGGTATGACATTCCGGATGAGAGGTATGAGTTATGGATTCAGTTATATCGTCCTAATATGACATCTCAAGGTGGGTGTTGATGAATTCATATTATTATGTTGAACATAATGTATTTATTAATATTAAGATTCAAATGCTGAAGATGAAGACCAAGATTCCTTGAGTAATGGTATGTAACAGTAAATTAGTATTTCATTCATTGGTAATTGTAGACACTGATGAAGGAGAAGAGCTTTCAATGAGTGCTGCAAACAGTATGCATGAAACATAATATTATTCTATAATACTTTATAATTGTGTAGGTATAGAGACACAGACACATACTGTCACAGCTAATAACAGTAAAGGCCTTTAAAATTAGCTGCAATACTTTTTATTATTAATGTAGGAGCAAAAAGAGTTGCACCTATCAAGGGAACCGCTGCTACTAAAGGTATTCGTATCACTATTAATTATTCTGATTTATTTTTAGAGACAGTTGATGCCTCTGTTACTTCTAATGCTAAGAAGGCTGTGAGGTCTAAAGGTATGTCTCAAATAATTTATGCTTGTCATTATTTTTTAATTAGAGACAGCAATTGCTGTACCTACTACTAGGAGTGTTAGATATAAAGGTATTGTAATATTAATAGTTGTTAATGTAATGGTTCATGACAATAGAGAGAGTTTTACTTACTGAAGAAAGTGTTAGAGCTAAAGGTATTTATTAAGTTTTTTGTTTATTTTTATCTATGCAAGTATAGAGACAGTTGAACCCACTACAGATATTAGTACTGCAGCCAAAGAGAGCAATAGAACTAAAGGTACTATTATGCAATTTTTGAAAAAAGACAATTGTGCCTGCCTACGCAAGTGTTACAGGTTTTTAATTGTTATTATTGACTTATGTAGGAACAGAGAGAGTTATACGTACTGCTAAGGGGAGTAAGGGAAGTGTTAGAACTAAAGGTATTAATATACTAGCTTTTTATAAATGCTGATGTAATATAGAAACAACTGTAAGTCCTGCTAATGCAACTACTGCTAAGAAAAGTGCTAAAGGTGTCACATAATTCTTTTATTTTATTTTATTATTTTTAATATAGAATCAGCTGATTATCCTACTGCAAAGAAGAGTGTTCGAAGTATACAATAATTTATTTTGCTATTAATTTTATAGTTTATGCTTAGGTGCACATAGAGTTGATACAAGAAGGAGTGTCAGAACTAAACGTAGTAAAATTTTAATTATTATTATCTTTATTATTATTGATAATTACAGAAATGGAAAGAGTTGGACAATGTACAGTGAATAATGGTATTGCTAAAGGTATTTATTTTTAATTAATAATTTATGACGATTTATTATTCAATAATACAGATGCAGTCCCTCCTACTACTTATGCTACCAAAAGGAATGTTAAATCTAAAGGTAAAGGATAACATCTTGACATAGTCTAATTATACTACAATAATAGTCAAGTCTGATTGTTCCCTAAAGCAATGTTCACATCCTGATGAGTCTAATTGGGTCTTTTGTTGCAGCTGCAACCAGTGGTATCACTGATATTGTTATAAAATTTCATTTCAAAAGGCGAAATTAAAAAACTTTAAATTTACATGTAACAACTGTAAATAATAACTAATTTTAATAATAATCAATAATGTTAGGCGTGTCCGTTTATTGTAGAAGAAGCTAAATATTTTTTATAGTAGCTGAGTGTACCTAAGAAGCCGGCTGTGTGATCCTTTTTGAAGAAGACAGTCAGTACTAAAGTTCTGGTGGTATAAAACTATTCTTCAAATAAAGTTTGCTTCGTTGTGGTTAAGTGACGAAAATTGAGTGAACTCGGCCGATTATCGTGTGAATCCACGAAGTGTGTTTAGCAAGTTATATCTTTACAAAGAAAGAAGGTGATGCTTTGATTTTTACCATGCAAACAGGTATTATAATGATCTATATCTAGTGCAAAAATCACTGGAAAATCATCTTAAGTTTTAAAAATATAACTGTCCGAATTTTGATTAGTCCGATATTTGATTGTTTACTCTATAACTGAGATGAGTGGATAGTCATTGGTATCTAATGCAATTAACCCATTGTTGTTCCCCAGTCTGTAATTGTGTGGTCCATTGTATTGTTGATAGAACATCTGATGTGTAGCATTACTTTCAATCATCAGTATATCACCAGGTTGTACTGTTATCTCATTGCTCATAGTAAAATTATATAAAAGAGAAGTTATGCTAACGGCATTACTAGCACTAGTGTTTAATGTTGCTGCTGTAGTAGTGAGATTATTTGATCGTTTTATTTTAATTACTAGCATAACTTGTGCAGGAGCAACAACTATCCAGTTAGTAATAATACTATGACATGTGAACCTTATATCAGGAAATATTCTAGTATCAGAAACATAATATGAATTAGTAACAGAATAGTTTAATGAATTAATTATGTCATCAGGTACAAATTGTGCAAAGCAATCTAAATTAATAGAAAAGAGTTATTTTTTATCATTATGATTGATTTATTACATACCTGTATTCTGTACTATTGGATGTATTAGTATAGTGATATCTTCACGGTCAACATGTCGACCTCCTCCTGATATTGTAATGTTATTGTTATTAGTATAATTCAATAATACTCTTCCAGTTCTGTCACGATCATCATCACCAGGAAGGTCAACATAATAAAATCTAACAACACTTCTGTCATCAGGAGGTTGATATACACCAATCCTGTATCCACTGGAGACATTTAATGGAGTAGGGAGAGTGAAATGATACTGTCCATTAGTTGTAAAGTTATCAGGAGTCAGTCTGATTTCAATAGACATCACTCTAGTGTACACATGATCATCATTAGTTGGAGCCCATACTTCAAATCTTGGATATAAATTTCTACCAACATTATCATTAACTGTCCTTATATCAACTCCAATCAATATTTCTGTTATAACTGTAGCACATGTGAATTTTATGTTGTCCTCAATGATAATCCATCTTGTTGCTACATCCACCATAGGGTTCTTA